CTGGTTTTTGATGATAGTTTTTTAATCGACTTATTGTATTCAGATGACATATCTTTCTCTCACTGGTGACTTGTAGAATCATCTGAACACTTTAAGTGACAATTTTACATTTAGCATGCTGTTCATATGCTTCTAAAATGTTTAAATGATCCTCATAAGTTCTGTATTTGAAAGAAGAAGTAATTCGATCAAATCAATCAAACGCTTTGCCTACCTAAGATGTTTCATGAGTCTTACAGAATTCGTGATTGATTAAACGTCGGCGCATATACAAAGGACTCGATTGTCTTTTGTCTCATTAGGCTTCCTGTGACGCCAACAAGGTATCCGAATACCGATTATAAGATGCGTTTACTGTGTAGTTGTCTTTGTTTTAACCTATAGCTGTGATATATGATCATTAAAGTTAGAGGACATAAAAAGGTTTAGGTATTCGAACACCACAGGCTTAAAAGAATACCTCATTTATGCTGACATTCTTGTGTAAGCAATATAGACACCAGGCGTAGACTATTAGATAGAGGAAACAATTAGTGAATATATTAACTTCCATTGGCTGAATTCCGTAGGATATATGTTACTTATGGACACTTAGTGTTACTTTATGTAGATGATGAGAGTGGAAAAAAACCTAGGGTGGGGCAGATCAAATCATAGCACGAAGTCTCGGCCTGCTGGTTTAAACAATGTTGAGATATACCTAGTTTTGCTGTTTTAGGTGTTTGAGATAACTCAAATTAATTATTGTGGGCCACAGGTGACTCCCTAGTATGGATTGCGGTATTTAAGATCCATTTATGCTTGAGACCTTGAATCTCAAAAATCTTATCCCCATATCTTTATTCATTACATCTCTCCGCGTTTTATTACATTTTAAGGTAACCTATACTATTATTTACATTTCTTTATACTTATTTTTGATTACTTACATCTGAATGTACTGATGCCAACTGTCTCAAAGTTGGCCGGTGCATGATTATGCTTGTCCTTGCATTGTTTGTGTCTGTCTGACTTAGTGCAGCTAAGTGAACTGAAGATGCTTGTTGAGCTATTTGTCAAAACTTTATACATCCAAATATTATAGTGTATTTTATTCAAGCAATGAACCACATACATCATCACCTCTTCGTTTTCATTAATGTTGAGGACGCCACCTACTATGATGTTAATTGATGCATAAAACTAGCTTGGTAACAAAGTCTGTTTTTCATATTACAGAAAACCATTCCTAGATTTGCTTTCAACAAATTTGTCAGAATGGTATATAGACCTACCAACTAATCAACACTTGACTAGTAACACATTTCTAAACTATTCTTTCAATAAGTGGTATGAGAAGAATGCTTATCTTAACTACAATAATCCATCACAAAGTATTCTATTGTAAACTATATTTCCTTAATCCTTAGTTTGCAAAAAGAAATGTTTTACAATCAGTATGACTATAATCTCATTCTACTGGGTATATCTACTTCTCCTTCGAATGGTATTTTTGGTTAAAAAAAATAATGATCAGTCATCATGTTTGAAAATGGTAAAATATAGGTATAACGACATAGTTTAGGATTCTGTTGGTGGTAGACAATTACGAACAAGATTAACTTCAGTAAAACGGATTTGTAACGAAGTTCGATCATTCTGATTGCTCAATACTTACTGTTTTCGTGCCAAAAACAAATGGATCCATTCAACTTTGCACAAACCGTTTCACTAAAGTTACTATATGCAGAATTTTCATTACCATACATCATCGCTACTTACAGATGTATCTAGTAATGGTAGATTATTATTTCGGTCAATTGATTTTTGTGAATCCTATTTGGAAATTAACGCAGATTTCCACTTGAAAGCATCTCACATAGTAAGTTATATTAGTGCAACTTAGTATTACGTAACCTCTAATCACATGTGTAAATATTTCAACAAATCAGGGATATCTGTTTAAACTTTTTACATAATCAGTCATCAGCTTACTAACAATAAAGCCAATTAGTTAGACGATATACTTGTTGTAATCAACATCAATGAACTAAGTGATACATACTAGAGGAGATGATATTTAGAATAAACGTGCATTCCTGACTATGTCCTAATTACCAATAATCTCGGGATATTAGAAACAAATGGAAGCCGGAAATTGACAACTACTCAGCAAAATGTAAACTACAATGTCAACAGCTCAACACTATACAAGATAATTTACTGGAGAATTTCATCCAGCCATGTAAGGACGAATTTGACTTTATCTTCTCAATAAAGTGATGGAAGAATATCATGTGATTTGTCTATAAAATAAGTTGGCGTTCACACAATTTTTCTTCAGGTACCTATCAATGCTGTCATTGCTGAAAGTCGTCACTAGGCAACTAAAGGGTCGGACAGATGTTTGCTAAGAGATTTGTCGTAAGTTATCACGCGATACATTTATGCACTGAATATAAAAGTCATCAATAAGCAATACACTTTACTACACATTAATCTTCGAACCATACTCTCTGACTCCTCAAGATAAGTGACAAGAATAATACCAAACATCTAGATTAATCGGATTACTTTTTCAAAAGATGCAGATGCTATGAAACGTCATCACTATGTGTCGTATCTGAATGAATAAGAAAATGTGGAACTAGAATCCATAAATTGAAATAGTTTTCTGTAAGTTAGTTGATTTTACTCATTCCTACTATCCATTTTTCTACAGATAGATTTGTAAACTACACCAGTGAGACGCTTTTACAAATTGGAATGAAGTAACCTATTATAAACGAATAAAAACTATCGTCTGCAAATATGTCACTGTGAAAATAGGACGTGTTATTTTCAGCTTCCTAGACAGAAAATAGGAGAATGTATTCACTTTTTCATGATTTTTGATTCTAATTTCCACTACCTAAGTTGAACGGTTTGTCTTCTTATGAACAATACGACTGAAATTGGAACTTGTAATCTTTACTTCACCTTTCTCTGTTCATACTTCCTTAGTTCATGATACTTTTGTATCGCATTTTATCTTGGTTAGCTAGTTTTCTAACGGAAACTTTTTTGACTTCACTGTTGGGCAGTTGATAAACTGCTCAGCCGTGAGAAATTGATTATCCTACCCAAGTTATTCTGATCCACCTACGTCTGTTGATGTGAACAACTTGGCTTTGTGAGCTGAATTTTTCACGGTGCACTACTGATGACCTGGACCTTAAACAAGCGAAACACTACTGGATCTGTAACGAACAAAATTCAGTACACAATGAAAACAAGTTGTTAGCACAAACTACTTATAAGTAACCTAGTTTATTTAGGCACAAATAAATATCACAGAAATTGAAATTCATTCACATAATTATTATTCAGCAAAATTGTCTTTAATTATTTTACTGTTGTACTAAACATTTCTTACTCAGTGGAAAATAATTTAAATAAGGTTTATTGTACATTGATAAAGAAATAATTCATAGTTGTGACTGACACCGTATCGGTATACTGGTATGAAAATCATGCTACCAATTGCGAAAATAAATCAAGATCAAGATGAATCAATTGTTGTTGAACTAATTAAAAATATTTTTGATACATAGAAAATAATCAACTGAAGTATTGTTTAATCAGCACATTACTTAGAGTCTCTGTACGATTAATGCTAAGTGACTATTTATTGTATTTTTTTTAAAGTGAATAATATTCCTTTGGTGGCTTTCTGTGATCCAAACCATATAGAAACCAATCACTTCTAGATAAAGTAACCATTTAGATTGAAAAATATGTTTGACTTTGCATGAATGCGTGTTAGTGAAGCAGATTATGACGGAGACTTTTTTATTTCATCATAGTGCATACCTTGTGAAAGCATAATTTGTTCTGTATACGGATTGGGCAGAATCTGTCGGAGATGCAACGCCAACTGCATTTTGACATTCTCGGTATTCAGAAATCCTTTAACCTGCTATCTATTCTTATACTCACGTAGAGTATTAATGAAATGACAAGCAGTAGGTAGATGCATAGGCAAAGCTTCATGTGTTAAAAATCACAAGCAAACTTCCTAGGGTTTATCCCCACGGTGGTTTTGCTAGTGAGTTCTTCCAGGCTAATCTTCATATAGTAGTTCAGATCGATTCCTCAGGCTAATAACCATTCACTGACAAGTATGTTTTGAATTCTTTATATGGAAAATTTGACACATTGACGTGTACCTTAAATATTCCTTCTAGAACGCGTATCCAGTTTTGTGACCGAACTTCAGCTTGGTAAAAAAGCTTGCAGAGTACTTTTAAAATTTTATTTTTGTCACCCTAATCAATTTCATATAGAACCTAGTCTGCTGATCACCTTAAAGTGGACAGTGGTTCTATTCATGACGGTAAACGTAATGAATGGTGGTTGTGTTAAGTTTTACTCTTCTTGATGGTATTACACGCTCTGAGTTGAATTATTTACCCTTAAAGCCTTCAATATCATTCTATACAGAGTTCTCACCTTCGAATATTTCTGCTCCAACGGCGTACTATTTTGTCGTGTTAACCTAAGATGTAAATAAATATTTCCTTTATAGTCTTACTTTTTAAGCGCATCCTGGATTCTTCTGCTAGCCACCATCAAGTAAATTAGCATAGTACTATTTTTACCTGAACATTTAGTTCTATTAACTTTTTTGCTGTGACCTCATTTCTGACTTAAAAGTTGTTTCTCGTGCTATATAGGTTGATCTATGACTGTTCATCCAGTTTTTGTAATGGATCACTATACACCATACAGTTTTCTTTACATGAGATATCATATGTGACTGAAAATTCATAGCTGATGCACCTATAAGTAATTTTGTTTCGTGAATAGTCAAATCGTTAGCATAATTTCTTTTCGACATGCATTCTTTAACAACTATGTTCCACTATTCACTCACTGATTTTTGTTTTAACATCGAACGAAGACGATTTCGCATTTCAGTTACGTTTTGTGCATTGTTTATGTAACTCAACCTTTTTCTTTGTTCTTATTATCTTTAAAAGGTTGGTGAATCAGGAAGTGGTAAATCGACTATTGTTCGACTGTTGTTTCGATTTTATGACACTACAGATGGTGAGATTCTTATTGATGGACAGAATATTAAATCAGTTACACAAGCGTCATTACGTCAATCTCTTGGAGTTGTTCCACAGGTAAATATTCATATAGCTATCTAACGTTTGTCGCTTATGAAATATTTCGTTGCACGAACTATAACGGATAACGTCTGACTGTTATGTCTATTTTACTGCATAAGGATTTAAGTTTACGGCTTGGTTACTCACTCATCTGATGTTAAGTGTCACCAACCAAGCAGTAACTAATATCTAAATATTTCTGTCAGTTTTCTTCAAATATCTGACATCAGAAATATTTTTGTCTACACTAAATTCACTGACAGACAGTACTTGATCAACACTACAGAACAAAGTATTGAGTTGGCCTACAATATGGCGACTAATTGATGTGGAAGCCATCTCATATTTTGATTGTTGGAACTGACTACTACTTTTGTTTGATGAAAAACTCCTTATGATAATATCATTAAAAAGATGTGTATGAATACATGTCCCAGAAATGATAGGCACTTAGATTTATTGACTCACGAAAAGCTATTTAGACTTTACATACAGATAACTTTACTTGATAAGACATGTTTACAGTAAATTACATGATTTAACTGTTTTTTGGATATCTGATGTGATATTTACGTTGCAACAGTGTTAAACTGGGTTCACCAAAGATTCTGTTAGCCTAACTTACAAATCTACCATTAAGAGAAAGTTCTAAGTATGAATCATGTGAGTTTTGTGGCCTATGTCATTGTCTCTAAGGCTGTACATTGGTATTTAGTAAGTTGCATGTTACTTATTTTGTTTAGGTCAAAGTAGGCCATTTCTATAGGGGCATATTTCTACATTGGTAAGAATCTCTCTCGGTCAAGGAATACGTAGTAAACAGCTTTATTATTCAGATTTTTCTATCTCTTTCTGATTCTTCACCCCTTTTGATATACTTACTATATTTACTTAGACTTCGTTTATCCCCTCACTTCGTCGTTTAGTATTACGCAACCTTCATTCTTCCAAACCTTTGGCCCACTATGCTTATCGAACTGTTTTCTAGGTTCTTATCATCATCGTCGTATGTATTACAACTGCTTTAGTCAATATTGTCACTATGACTGTCAACGTAATTATTATTATTGCCATAGTTATTACTATCTGCATATTTTAAAAGCACTTATCATTAACCGACAAACCTACGTGATTAGTTGAATGACTTTAAAGACCACCTTAACAACTGCTGAGGTACCCAATAACGTTCCTTTATTGTATGATGAACTGGCTTTCCGGCAAACATTTTGAAACCCAACTGCTTATTTCGGCAGTTGTTAAGGTGACCTTTAAAGTCACTTGATTAGTTATTATCTGTCATTTGTAATTGTCACATGAATGGGTGTAAATACCTGGCTAACAATCTTGTTAAAGTTGCACTCTAGCCATGTAAAGGAATTGAGAGCCTTGCTCACAACTTATTTAGATTAACTTTCTGTGACCCGAATAATGACTATTTCACTGCCTAACTAACTACCGAGCATTAAAAGACCGATCATCCGGCCAACTGACAATGTATAAATATTTCATGAAATTAAACGTGGCTAGAGGATTCGATGCTTAAGCCACTCACCCGTAGAGTGAATTAAAAAGCCATCCTAACAGCAATTGGAATAACCAATTACATTTCTTTATTTTATAAAAATCTGTTATTCTAACGGAAATATTAAAACCTAATTGGCTACCTCATTTGTCGCTAGGTCAGCCTTTATTTTCATTCCAGTTGGCTGTTTTAGTCTTTACTGGGATGGCGTCTATAGTCACTCCTTCACTATTTTATTTTCATTCGGTTAAGTAACTTGGATTATATTTCAGCTTTTGGAGAACTCACTTTCTTTTAACATCTAACAATATTCGGTTCATTGACCATTGGTTTTACTTGATGCACTGAAGGCACTAACATATAGGCAGTATACCGCAGAATACTATGTTAGCTGGTAATAACGATAGTAATAATAATAATGATAACGATCGTAATAGTAGTATTACAATTAATAATGGTCAGCGGAGAATGCTAATGAAACAGACTATTTCCCTATGGATTCAATTTTAAAGTTCATACTCATGTTTCGGCTTGTTGACAGCAGTCTTGTACTCTTCAACTAGGCAGAAACAGCCAGACCAATGTTGAACCTGGAAAAGAAGTCTGTCAGTTCTAATTACGACACTTCACATGAATATGAAAAGAAGTGGATGGGGAAATGGCATCAAAGTAATCAGACGTGTATGAGTGTTGAGAGAATAAATAGACTAAGGTTAATGTAAGTATTCAAGACTGACTTTGATGATGCGAAAAGTGAATAGATTCATGCTACTGAGATCGATTTTTAAGCCATATCTTCAAAAGTTTCCAAACAGTGACTTATCATCTCGAGAACGGTAGCCATGCATGCAGTTTGTATCTCCCTATATGGGTCAGACCAGCAGTTGTAGACTGCCAAAACACTTGTAGATACTGAGTTTATTAAATCATAAAAACTCAATAAAAATCTCCTTTTTAAACGCAATATGTTATCTTGAAAATCGAGTTATACAAAGTGGAAACACATATAAATCAAATTCTCATCTACTATATTAGTAAGTCAATTTTCTTCAGAAGAGTTGCGTGCTAATTTTATGGAATAAAACGCCTCTACAAAAGGTGGCAACTACATAAATTTGATGTGAATTGCCTTTAAAAAGTGATCATAGTCGATGATTTATCCACTCAACTTTATGTGAAGGAACCTGCTGGCAAAACGAAAAAAAGGATATTTGCTTCATTCCTAATTGTTTCATTGTTTCATTCGTACCATATTGATGCGGCACACAAACCAACCAAACGCCCACAAAATATCAATTTATTATAAGTTTATTTATAGTGAATATTAACACACAATGATAAATTTTTTAATTCTCTTGGTAATTCAGCTAATAAATTCCAACGATATATGTGATCACCATCAGTAGTTTTGCTCAAAATATTAACGAGATTTGGAAAGTTAGTATTAGTTTAAAAATCCCCATTTAGTTACAAAACAGAAGACGTTTAGCGAAGAGTCACTGTTTTCAGCGATATCATAAATATTCTATTCATATGGTGACAGAAAAGAAATATTTCATGAAATATTTTGAGCGAATTTCAGATGTGATTATAAATCAGGAGATCAGAAAAAGAATTACGTATTGTTTGAAATAGTGATGAAGAGAAGTAATATTTTGTTACCAAGTTAAATGATATAATATAGTTAATGTGAAGAGAAATCAGAATTATAGTAGTGAACGGATGTAATGTGTGAGAAGTTCTGAATAGAAAGACTTCTGAAGCGAAAAATGTTCTTATATGTTATGTCCACTACAACTCAAGTGACTGGATAAATTGCAGTTCAGGCTTCAGAATGTTAATTACCATAGCTTTTGCAGTTTGAAGAAGTTTTAGACGTATACCTTTCACAAAACTTTCACAAACTCTGTAGAGGACAGTGAAGTTGTTTTCTGCATTTACTGAGTGATTATAATCGATCAAATGTTCTAAATAGAGCTGGGAGGTGTTCTTTCTCCTTCATGGAACCAGGCTGGTGTATGTTCGGAAATGCGTTTGGAAAGTTAACTTGGCAGCATAGAAAGTCTTTCTCAATGTATATGCCGATGTGTCTCTGTCGAACTTTAAGCTCACGGAAAGAAGCTTCTTAGGAGCTGTGGAAGTGGAATGGCTATTTGCTCTCAGTTTCATGGTCATAACCATTCCACTTCTGTGCTTCCTAAGAAACCTCTTCGCTAAATGTCTTGTGTTTTAAAACTTTACTGGCTAAACACTCATTATAAATAAAGGCATTTATAATAAATTGATTCACTCAACAATGCATGAACTTTTCATGGATATTAAATATCCTGTACATACAGGGGGATTCACTGTTTAAAGAAGACAGTGCGAAAATGATTTATGGAATCGGTCGAAAGTACTTTCAACATCAGTACTTTTTCCATCTAGTTGTCAGATAGCTCAAAAAGTTCATAACCATCAGTTGATAGCTCAGTCTTTCTTTGCTGCTTGCAGTTGGTTTCACATAAGCGAACACTGCTTGTTATAGAATCTACTGCAGTGATATACTCAAGATCTATTCAAAACACTGGATCTAACTTTATAGTTCACTTTACCATTTAAAACGGAAAATCTCTAGTGTGCTGTACCCAAGCACCACCCAAGTCTTGATGCTACTTATATCGTACTGTTAAGTATTGAAAATAAAATAATAGAAACGGAGTTGAATAAAAATAAAACGTTTCTAAGCGGCCATTTTGCACATTTGCAGTGTGAGTGAACACACCGAAACTTTGTATATCACCCTGAGCTATTCTATATCTGATTCAGATAATTGCTTTATAATGGTTGGTCTTATCTTTTACTTCTCCAACACACATTAGCTTAGGCATATGGCTTTCATACAATGAGTCCCGAGTTCCAAACCCATTGTACATATTTTGGCTTAAAATGCTAGTGCAATAAATGTGACTAGTAACCTATTACATAAGCGTCCATCAGGTCTAGGAATTAACCACAATTAAGTGAGTTTTTTCAGAGCTTTTAGATATTTTCAAAAATTCTCTATGGTTTGGCGCCAACATACACCCTGACCGAACATAATGTGAAAATTTCCACATAAGTACCTTGGCTGGATCTGGTACTGAGAGAGAAAATGATCATAACTGAAAAAACGTAATCAACAAGAAAAACGTGTATGAGCATAAGGGAACAGTAAGTATACAGTGGTATGATGTTCAACATCTTCAATGATCTAGTGTATGAACTTATTTGTCTCAGTGTAAGTCACTTTCTGCCAAATCCTATGCGGTTTAAATTTGGGTAGTGCGAAATTCATATTATGCTGATTAACACCAATTATCAACTGACTAAGATATGTATATCCCTCATATTACTACTTCATGGGGAATTATCATCTGTAGGTATAAGACAAAAAAACAGCAGCTTTCCGAGTTACTACAGTATACAGTCTGCAATATCTTCACAAATAGACTATATCTTCTTAATCTCACTT